AATTCAGCGGTCTTCACAAGCATCTCAAAAGTAATATTTCCACATATTAATCTATTTGTTTAATCATCATTTCTTCCTTAGACTTCATTTGGTACCAGTGCTTTGTATTTTTACGAACTAATAATCCCTTCGTAATTCTGTAGTGACCTACTTTTGTCAACAGAACGCGATTGGTTCGATGAAAACAATTATTATTATGACCAATTGTACCAGTGATTGTTTTACTGTGCCCGTTTGTCTAACCGTTCTAAGGACAGCCATATTGGCCTTCCATTGGACTCCATTACTTCTGTGCGGTTTGTGACTCTACACACGTACTTTCTCTTGCCGATCCCACTTGTACTCCTTTGACACGATCTCGGTATTCTTTCGATACCACGAGATCGTCAGCAAATATATCACGACTACAGCCATCATCTGTCTTCTGATATTGGCCTACGGGAATCTTATTGGTTTACTGGCACGTAGTCCTATAGCGGTGTTCATAATCAAGCGCGATTCGACACCACGCTACAATTTATTGCCTGCTTGTTACGAATTCCAATTACAATACGTTCATTTGCACTCATCTAATATATTTGCCTTAAATTTTACGATTTCGAAAGTTTTCAGTTAGCACAATAATTCGAATTTTTCTCAGTATCATAGGTTGTGTTTCGATTTAAGGGTGAAAGATCATGAAATACAAAGATTAATAGAAAATTGAATTCAGTTATGATATGTAGAGTATATTTACATATTCAACTGACATTTCATTAGAAATAAGGTAATCCATAGATACCCAAGTGGTGATTTTCTGAAATGGCTTTGGTCACGTTGGTTAGGAAAGGAACTCAAATACGACTAAGTTAAAGTGCACAAAAGATTAGATTGTCTGGAATTAGAGTGAAATTAATATAATGAACATGACTTCACCACTTAATTATTGGTTGCAATCTTACTAGAATTTTAAACTGTAATGGCACAGCAGTCTGATCTATTTGGCAATGTGTTCAAGCTTTTCCATCCAATAATTTAAGTCCAGAGTAATGCGTATAACATAGACAGTTCAACTCAAACACCAAAAAGGAATCTCCAACTAAGTAATCAAGGTCTTACTCCTACCATTGTCCCTACTACTAATGAGGCTAGTAATCAAAAAAGAAAAGGGCTTCCTGGACCTCCCGTGGTGCCCACAGCTATGAAGAAACAAGAGAGGGACGATAATTGTATCTCAACCCCGTTGTTTGTCAAAACCACGGAATCGTACTTGAATGTTAGTTCTGTAGTGGTAGGGTTTACTGTCGCTATGGTACTGCAGCATCTAAGCAGTACTTCGTTTTATGTCATGTCACCACTGTCCATGGTGCTGGTTGACAGTGTAAAGAAATACACCAGTGGGATTATCAAAACAGGAGAGTATGATCCTATTGAAAGCAGCCCTATCAATCCCCATAAGTAAATCCGAATTGTCAAACACAGACTCAATCAGACACACGACCATAACAGCCAAGGTACGACGGCATGCACCAATCAAATTACAGACTGTCACCGATACCTCAGGTATCTGTTAACTGCTCTGGGTGAACGTTGGGAAAGAAAATTGCAAAAGCATAGCTCACAAACACTAAAAATGAAGGACGACGACGTTATACAAAACCCCCTGATTTTATTTAGCGTCCCAGTTGTAAACAGTAGCGTATTAGAAAATAAAGCAACCCTTATATAAAGAATAGAAGGCGAATGCTGCATAACGCTGAGCAAGGGTGCCGCGTCATCCATGCTGTACTGCATGTATAAGGGCAAAAAAAGACAAAAAAGAACCCTCTCCATTACGAGTAAACTAAGATCCAGACCGCAATACAGAAAAAATTGTACTGATGTCACAGAAGCCATCGGTTAAACGAGCATCTCAAATCTCAGTTAGACACGGCAAACCGATAACCTTGAGTGATGCCGCTCGAATACCAGAAAACGTCGTAGAGCCAACCAGCATGGTGATTCACTGGGTGTCTAGGCTAGAACGTGGTGGTCGGAACACAAAATTCAACAGCGGCGTTAGTCATCATATAGCATAGGCTTTCACACCACCATGGTGATTGGTGTGGACAAGTTACTTCATCCGTCACACCACATAACCATCACGTCCTCGTGTCTGATAGTCGTGAACTTCAGAAACAGAGAGGAATCAACTGAGGCTCATCAGGCTTGTATAGATCGAAAACGATCTCTTCAGTCACAACAGATGTTGTGGGAGCCGACTTAAATCAGCAGAGCGATGAAAGGAAGCTAGATAAAGGTGTGGTACTTTGCCTAGCGAACCACTGTACAGCAATTTGAGACCACTGTTTCAGTAATAAGACACATTATTCTGACAAAACACCCACAGCGTTCAGTTTTCACGGGACTAGCCAACACACTTTAAACAACAATCCGTTTAAAAAACAAAAGGTCGACGTTCATGTAGGGACAAGCCATCAAGTGCTACTATAGCAACTTAAGATGACTAAGAAACACACTAGGAATAATCAGAAGCACGTGTTCTTAGCTAGACCTGAGAACCATGGTTCTAAGTAAAACATAGCAGTCGCCTGACATCATTGATGAAAAAATATGCTTGTTAGGCACGACAATTTTCAGATACGACAGGGTACAGCAAACGGTTGGAGTGATCATATAAGTCAACAGTCACTTAGAAGCCATAACATCACGCATTACAGAGTTAACCAAGGTTACAGAATCACGCTTATGTTGCTTTAATGTAAACTCCACAAAGTACTTGATTGGGGGAATATACTATCCCTTAACATTCTCTGAAACTCAAAAGGATGAGATAGTACTACGGCTACCATAAATGAGACTTGACTAAATTGTACTAGCTTGAGATTTTAGCACTATCCCTAAATCTCAGCAATCAGGATACAATCTCTACAGGATAGTCTCTTAATCGGCTTGCAATAGCCATTAGATGTTCATGACTGAACACGTGAGTGGCACTGCCAAATGAAACAAGGACGTAAAGTCATCAAACTTAGATCATTTATCGACTAGTGACCTGCTCCTAGTTGATGAATGTACCCACATACCAATAGGAAAGGGTGACCGTCGTACAGTCGTGTTTAACGTCGCCACAAACGAGATACCTCGAAAAGATCAGAATGCTCCCTACCTTAGGTTCATTAGTGCAGATCACACGATGACAGGCGAGCATTTTCAACACATCTCATGTATACGAGAGTTGCCGTGACTAACTGTGAGTTAGAGAAGGACACTACTCAGCTATAGTGGCAGTTGAGTGTTGAGAGATATCTAAATGACTCCCGGGTTAGTGCTCAGGAGAACAAGATCTCTGGGCCCAGGAAAGTCACAAGGATGTGAAAACTACAACCTGTGATTCTGAAGTATTGCGTGGAATCCATCAGCATGACAATGTGTGAAATGGGGCGACTTTCTCTGCGATCTTCAAAGAGGGAGGTAGAAAATACCCAGCCTGTTGCAGACCAATCTCACCCCTCCCAAACATAGTAGAAGGTAGTGGAAGGACTGGTCAATGGGCAACTCAGGGAATACATGGGTAAAAACAACACACACTGTGAAGTCCAATAGTGATTCGGGAAAGAGCAGGTCATGTTCATCCAGTCTTCTCATAGTATGAGAAATCTGTACGTGAAGACAAGTTATACATAATGACTATGCCTGCAAGGCTGAACCGTACCACCTGATTGAATTGAAGTGAATATTCTCGCCTTCGTCATTGTTGACCTTCTCTTTATGTTAAATCTTGAATATCTATTTTCCCAGTTATTTCATGTTCAGCTTTGTAAATTGTGTGGTTAGAAGTAATAACACTACATATCAAGCACTCCAAGTCACCCCAACACGAGTTTAATGCCAAAACATCATCACCACGCTCTTCGAGGCAACCCTCGGAAGATTGCAGATCAAAGAGCAAATACCCAAGTAAGTTCTCACTTTTTCTCATTAACACTTGACCCCATTTGGGGCGCTTTTCAGCCAAAGTGATCATAGCTCCATCAGCAGATAGCTTTAAGGGAAACTTGACAATCAAATACTCACTCATGGATTCCCCTGTGAACCATCTGTGTTTGATGCATGTCTTACAGATCACCATGGTTATTTTTTATGTAAAACCTGCACCTACTTCATATCTCACTTGTAATAATCTCCGTTTCCCTCTAGTTGAATCAACTCCGTCTTCTTACAAATTACTGACGAAGTGAATTATTTCTTTGTTCTTGAAACAATAGTCTTCTCTTAGCCCTTAAATTATCAGTTTATCATGTTCACATTGCAAGCAACCAACCTCTTTCCTGGTAATGTGATAGCCATTAGTATCCAGAATCCCTACTTCCCTGAGAAATGTGCATAAACTCGATATACAGCATATACTCTGGTCTTGGCTGTATACGTTGACAGATCTAAGCAATATGTAGCAAAAATAGGCAGTGGAATGCTCACCAGCAAAAAGTGGAAAAAAACACGAAGGTAAACGGAGAGCAGTCGGAATATCATCAGAATTGAAAGAATAGTGGAATAAGTAAAGGCCCACTGAAAGATGTGTAGATGATATATTTATTGTGTGATTTACATATTTTCTAAAATCACTATGATTTTGACTCAAAACAAAGAATTGGTTCACTGTTTTTACACTGCAATACAAGTCCCTAACAATTATCAATGCGACTGGTATTAGTGTAGTCTATTGGCTAAACTATCACCAATTGGACATAACTAAACACTTGAAACTGTACTGGAACAATATAAAGCTTGCAAAGGGAAATCAATCAGTTATTACAAGCCCATAACAAAGATATTGAAATCTTTAGCTTGTTAATCGTCGTGACAGACCGTTGAGGTAGATCACTAAGCTGCTCCTTAGAATAGTACATCTACATTCTCGAGACACTCATAGCGAAAACTACTCCACAATCTAAAGTAAAGAATGGCGAGCATTTACATTTTGCAAACTATTTGTTTTATTCGACGTAGCCAGTGTAACGTAAGAGTCTTAAGAAACGTACTAATTTGAAATAGCGTGATAGTTTGACCAAATATCGTTTAATAATGCCCGAAGAAAATAAACCCATAAAAGTTAAAATTATTAGCATGGGAGACGAAGACACGGGGAAGGTATGTTCTCACTTCTGTTACCATCCAGACCTGTCTGATTAAACGGTTTTGTGAGAAACGTTTTGTTTCAAAGTACTTACCAACGATTGGTATAGACTATGGTGTATTCAGGTAATGTTATGACATAAACTTATATGACAGAACCAAGGTAGGAAACAATGAACTACGCGTTGATATATTTGACATGTCTGGAAATCCTTCATTTTACGATATTCGAAATGAGTTCTATAAAGATACAAATGGTGCTATTTTGACCTTTGACGTAACAAATAGAAAAACTTTTGAAAATCTGATTCGATGGGTTCATGAGTTGCATTTCGAATCCGGTGAAGCTAGTTCGGTTTCATCTCCAGTCATAATTCTTTGTGGTAACAAGGTAATGCTATATTTGTCCATTACGGAGTTTACTTAAATTTGTCGAATAAGTTTTTTTTATAGATTAGGCTTACTTAACCTCATTTGAGTGCAAATATGTGTCTTGGTTTTTTGGCTAGACGATTTCATTCCTTGTATGTAATACCTAAAGTTAGAAAGCGTGCTAGGTTCGGCTTATATAAAAGAATAATCAGGTCAATTTGTTGGGGAGTTGTTTCACTTTAGAAATTTCTATCCTTTTTTTCACAATTTTTAAGTATTTCTTTACATCTTGGTCTAACTGACATGGTTTTTCTTTTCAAGGAATTCAGTATGAATTGATGAGTTTCAGCACACTGATACATAGATTAGCTGTTGTATAACATAATCTTATTGATTGTGTTAGTAATTTTATGTTTCCAGAATGTTTATCTATACTTCTTTGGCGCATTTTGTAAGTAGCATAATTCTTTTGAACATATTTTACTCACTTATCTTCACGAAGTTTATCATACGGAATAAGTAAAAGAAGCAGTCAGTTAGAAAAGTTGAAACTCACTTATGCACATATTCTAGTCATTTTCGTGATGAAAAAAGCGCCTTTCAACATGTTTCTACATCAGCGCTTTTAATTATATTGAATGATCCCTGTTTAAATTAATAGAACTGATTTATTCTGAATATAATTGTGTTAACTCTTTTCAACAAGATCAGTCTATAAAGGTTTGTTAGATTTGAATGTAATTGTACTCCGCAGGTTGATAAAGCACCAAGAGCAGTGAGTTATTATGAAGTATCTGAATGGGCAGCAATACATCAGTATCCATACGTTGAAACATCCGCACTTAGTGGTCATGGGGTTACAGAAACTTTTAATGTAAGTATCATTTTGAAAATTTATTAAGCTCAGTCTTTTGTCAGGTTTATACTGACTACATACAGATCATTTATGTAATCTAGTTTTACTTTTTGAACTAGTTTTATTTAAAGATGATATTATTGTGTTGCAGCTTCTTGTGTATACATAAGTTAATAATTATGTATGGTGCTAAACAAGCTGAAATCTTTCAATACTTTATGATGCATTGATATATAATTTAAGGATGAAGTATAAACTCTGTCGCTCACTAATTACCATAGATTTATGCAACAGTTCGTATTAATAATATCGGTTTCATAATACTGATGTAGAGTAAATGTATTTTAATCGTGAGAATTTAGTTGTTAGATTAATAAATAATTTAAATTACACATCTATGTTACCTGAACATCAGCCAGAAAATTTGTAGTTCCTTACATCCTTTTATGCGTTTAATTGATTTAGTCTCATTACGTTATTATGTTGTGACATTAACTAGCCTTCCACAATAATTCTTGTGATGAATAAGTATCTTAATTTATTTACTGGGGTTCCACAGTTTCAGTTGGTGTTTTTAGCACACTTTATAAAGGTCGGTAGTAATAAATCCCTAGTTTTCTTATTCTGCTTATCATTAGTTTTTATGTGTTGATATATATAGTAACACGAAAATTTCCCATTTTTCCTGCATTAAATCACATAGTAATAGTACCCTACGTGAGTGAATTCTATTACGCTTACTCTAGAGCTAGAGTAAGTTAAAAGCGCACTACTAATAATGTATTTAAAATGTTTCATTTATGTGATAAGGTACATTGATTACCATTGTCTGACTTGAACGTGCAGTGTTTGTAAAGGGATGCTAGCGAGTAGTTCGTGTTTTGACCTCCCGCAAAATAAACCACTTCTTGTTGCAGCATGTAATATTGTTAGCAATAGATACAAATAATGAATGGTCAGATAGAATGGCGTAAATCGTAGTTTAGTTACCAAACATACATTCAAAGTTGGTAAGAATGTATTAAACAAAATGATTCAGGTGAAAAAAATGGGATACGAAGTTTGGTGCTTTCTTGGGAAATAATAAAAATTTATACGGAGTAATAACTTTGGCCCACCATAACTGTTGGTGTACTCAATGCAATCATATATTTGAATTGCAGCCATTAGAGAAATTCAGAACGAGCATTTCTTTCAATTTATGGCTTACCGATTGAGTTTACTTGAATCTAAGAATTAATTTCAACATTCACACTTGAACTCAGTATTTCTTACATCAAATTTTGACACTTTATCCCTTAAACAAGTGAGTACACATCATTACCACCTTGTTCAATCGATATGATGATTATTCAAAGGATTCGCTCAAAATGTACATACGCGAACACAGACTAATTAGAATTCATCCCTGAACATCAAAAGCGGAAAAATACAAACCTTTACGAAGAACTAATGTAATAAGTTGTTATGAATCAGTTACGTAACCATCGAATGTATTTCAGTTACCATCAATCAGACATAATAACTCAAGTCAGGTGTATGCTATTGATTATGGTTTGACTTAAATTTCTGAGGAAGTACATGTGACCTATTGGTTAAAAATTTGGTTTAAATTTTGAAATGGATAAATATATATTTATGTAAATGAGTTGTGCAAATACTCTTGATTCGATTGGCTAATAACCTTGCTGACTGGTATTAGTTATCCATGAAGATTAAAAATGTAGATTATATCAAAGTTGTTTGTTCAAAAAAGGCCTGTGTACTGACAGAGATTAAAGATATAAACAATAGGAATCTACAAACTAGTCAACCTGCCATATGGAACGTAGAAGCTGACACAAATATGCATCGACTCAAGTTGCCGCACAACATTAGTACAAGGAAATAAAGCTGTCAAGAAAAATATCAGAGTCTTAGAAGTAACTTCAATATCACTGGTAGTAGAAAAGAAGAAATATAGGATGAAGAAAAAAAAATACTGAGATTTCAGAATTCAGAGTCTAACAGAGGACAGCATGAACTCTCACGCACCATTGTGAACAGTTTCGATTCATATCAATCACTGATTAAAATAATCTCGTGAACCCAAACGAGGTAGTCTATACCCACTAATATAGCTCAGTCTAATGACCAATGACTTTATGGACAAGTGACATATTTTATTTTTATCATCTAAGCTTTCTTCCAACCTAATCCTACATTATACAATATCGCCTGTTGATGTATACAGTGGTTGGATGTATTTAACGCAGGTTTCGACGACATCAGTTGTTGATGATCCACTATCTCATTAGTCGATTTACCACCTTTGTCTAATTATTTATTAATTTATTTAAACACATAAATATTGGTACAAGGAGGTATCAAATAGATATGCGCCACACAGGCCACTTGATTTGTGTTTGGGTTTGGATACTGACGGGGTGCCCAAACCGAAGCAGGTAGTTTTCTTAGGGGGCCACAACCGGAGCCTTCAACCTAAATGTCTGATCCACAAGGTAGTGGAACAACGTAAAGAGATGAAGTCCCATGGTAGTCAATGATCAACGATTGGTTCATACGCTATTTATTTCCTTAGGATCCTTGGGCCCATTTACATCATTGGTTTGGTATCAGGGTTTTCCGACTACTTTTGGTGGATTATCCGTATCCACCAACCCGGTTAAAGCATAGAACATTCGCTTTACATCCTCTTACCTTCGTGGTCCTAGAAGACAGTGAATAAGACTTCCCCGGCAATGGTTGTATGCACGTGAACACTTGAAAGCATTTCGAGAGGGAGGGCTGATTCTCGCCACTCTCGGCCCGACCTTTTACCCTATCCCTAACATCGATGGTCCTAAAGTACATGAAGAATGCCTCAAAGACTAAGTTCACTTTCAATTTGTTAATTTGAAATAAACGCATAAACCTTTTTATTCACTTTTGATATACATTTAAAACAAATTTTTTTCAGACTTTATTTGAAAGTATTATTAATCCAGATATATATCAAACTTATATACCGAATCATGTTAATTTTCGTCAAAATTTAAATCATTCTACATATCAAGAAATGAATTCTATACATCAAAATTCAACAATGAATATTCCAAAATCATATTCAAAATTGAATTATTCATTTAAACAATTCAATATGTCTTCTTCACCCTCATCAACTGCTTCATTTAAATCAAATAAAAATGAACAATCTAAAACGACACATGAAAATCTTTTAGAAATAAATCGAATTATAAATGCTAAAAATAATTATGAACGATTAGGGATTAGTATGACAGCTAATAGGTAAGTTTGTATAGAGTTAGTTAGATAGTAGTAGATATATTTATCATGTTGCTTAAATGGATAAATAATGCTGATATTACTTACTTACTTACGCATGCCTGTTACTCTTAATGGAGCATAATCCACTGAATAGCATTCTCCAATCCACTCTGTCCTGGGTCTTTTTTTCTAGTTCCATCCATTTCTTGTTCATTTTTCTCATGTCTATCTTCATTTCCCGGTGTAGTGTTTTCTTTGGTCTTCCTCTTCTCCTTTGGCCTCGAGGATTCCATGTGAGGGCTTGTCTTGTGACACAGTTGGATGCTTTCCTCAATATATGTCTTATCCACTTCTAGCGCTTCTTCTTAATTTCTTCCTCCACTGGAATCTGGTTTGTTCTCTCCCATAACAGGTTGTAGCTGAAAGTGTCCGACCAACAGATCCGAAGTATTTTGTGTAGACAACTGTTAGTGAACACTTGTATCTTCTGTATAATGGCTTTCATAGTTCTCCAGGTTAAACTCTGCCCGGAGTCCATCCGGAGGCTACCGCCGGTCCCAAGCCCGGATGAAGGAGGAGGGTTGGGCATGGGGTTAGCGACCCTACCCCGTAGAAAACCTTTTTTAAACTTTGACTTCAAACACTAAAAATATTTTGGTTAGTCAGTCAAACAGCTACAATGTAAGACTAGGCATATATATGTATCGGTCCAAGTTGTTACACTTCATTAGCACAATAAAATGAATACCATATTCATAGAAGTAGTTACTTCAATGGTAGGAATTTATAAAAGAAACATTGACATAAGATGGTTTACCTGTCAGTAGAGAGTGATCCGGTAATACCACTGAGTAAATAATCATAAATATATATATATATATATATATATATATATATTAATAGTTCTTATTGCGTAATATTTGATATCAGAAAGGGTTTTATAGATATTATAGTAATTTCAATGGTTGAGATCATGAGTCAGTTGAAGCTAGACCAACATGACAAACGGTTGTCCAGTGCTTCCAGCTTTTCCATGATGGTCTAGCTTTGACTGAATCATGATCCCAACCATTGAAATTAATATTTAATATTCAATTGACTATTTGAAGCTATTCAGTTTCATTAGATAGATTTGTGTTGGCTTACATTTGAAGAATTTAATTTTAAAAAAATTAATTTAGTGGTTTCTTAAAATTTTTATGACTGTTGTTGGGGAATAAGGATGAACTAGTTTTTCCAAAGGATTCCTGGCAAAAAGAACTTTTTTTGACATTGATATTTTTGTTTCACTGTCCTATTATAGTTTGAAACTTTCCATTGATGTTTAGAACTGCAATTAATCAGTCTCTTATTGACATATGTGCACCTTGTACGAATTGCCTCGATATTGCCTTAATTCACAAGCATTATAAGCAAAGATGGATGGTAGGTAGCAGTGGAATCAACGACACGCGTTTCATTCTATTTGGAACTCGTCAGTAGGATTGAAACTTCACACCATTGCAAAAGCGGACAACTATCTGGACTCAATAGCTAAGTGGATAGGGTGATGGCGGTTGGAGCGGACTGTACTGGGTTCGAGTTCCCAAATGGACGTCAACTCTGCGATGCGGTTACATGCGGCCGACGAACCGTGCGTCCTAGATTCCATTACCAACCGCCATCCATCATAGCTTAAAATAAAATTTGTAAGTATACCTTAAGTTACATTAGAAAAGAAACATTAGAGCTCAACAAATAAAGAACACTAGCAGTTACTTATCAAGAATTTTTTTATTTACTTATTTATTAATCTTAAGCGAAGAAATTCAAAAAGCATTTCGTCGTTTAGCCTTTATTGTACATCCTGATAAAAATAATACCCCAGGAAGTGAAGAAGCTTTCAAAATATTGGTAAAAGCAAAAGATTCTTTACTTTCATTATCAACTGGATCCAGTTGGTTCAGTCCTAAAGTTTAATCGTAGCGAATGTTTTATTTTCCTCACAATAATTTATTATTATTGACATTTATAAACTGTGATACTTCTTGTGAATTATATCCTTTCTATGAATTACATGTAGATTTGATTATTTTAATATAAAATATTAACTACTTGTAAGTAGAACAATTTATTTTGCTAAATATTTTCCTCCATGATTTATGTACTTCTAATGAATGAAGTCTATTTGTACACTGAATATCAACAATACTTATTCGTAGATTTTCAACTTCATACCCATCCAGAGATTTGTATTTGCATTACCATATAGGAATTGTTATGATACACCATACTTTAAATTACTACTGATCATATCTAAAATTTCAATTGTAGGTTACTAAGAATACTTTTTTGACATTAGTGAATTTATACTGTTATATCAAGTGAATTAACTAAAGAGTAGTTTTGTAGCTAGGTAGATGGGGTTCAATTAGCACTTCCTAGACAGTATGAGGCCAATTATTTTCCATTGAATGGTGTGAACAGGATTGTAAGTGTTGGGACAGCTTCCAAGAATTACGACGGATCCTCGAAAAACCCTAAAGGAACCGAAGAGTTTCCATCTAATCAGAACGTGATGGGGCTTTCTAGAATATCACTTTGGTATGCTACTATTGAACGGTCGTATAACCTGCCTCTTTGTGGATTGGCTGAATTATAATGTTGATATAACAAATGCTGATATCTATAAATATTCATGATTTTCTGTATATTTTGATTTTTACCCAACAAGCACTTCTCCAATCTTCTGATTTGTGATTATGGGGTTCTATACGTTCGAGTGCCGTAGTTGCATATCGTATTCTGCGTTAATCAAGTAGTAAACTTAACACCAAGCATAGAACAATCTGAAGTATAGTTTGAATATTAATTAGGTCTTCCTTATGTAGTGATATTCAGTATGAAATCATTTGAAAAGTCTGCATCTTCAACTATTCTTTAGGATAAACTTCAGAATTTACTTATTGAATTGGGGATGTGTGTTATAATTTTAGTTCATTGACGACATAACCTAACTTAATGTTTATTTTGAGATGGTTAAGAAGATTTTTAGCTCAGATGGATGATTTTAATGAAGTTTTGTTCTTTGAACTGAATAGTTTGATCGTGTAGCTTTCATTGTTCTTCTGAACAACAACAACATCAGCAGGAACTTCAAGTAGAATATAATTTTAATTGTTAATTGATAAGTTATATAATATAACTCACATTGAATAATGATCGATGTTTTTGTTTATCTAGTCTTTTAGTACTCATTGAATTCAATCAATCACGTTCCAATAGGATTATTAGTTTAAGTGACCTCACACTTGATTGATTTATCTCAATTTGCACTGCAAACAAGATAATAGAACTGTGAGGATGGATATTTAATTATTAAGCTTACCGGTTACAAACTTTAATGATGTAGGTTCCATCATTTGAGTAATACACGTTTATTAAAGTTTGTAGGTTATACCTCTCTTTTTAGTTGCTAGCAGATATAACTTTCTATAATCTAATCTTAATTGTTTATGATAAGTCTTGCAATTTTGAACGCTTTACTCGATTCCTAAGCTATTCTTGAAACCCACAAGCTAGAACTATACAGCAACCTGAACACGAGAGAGAAGGCGTAAAGTATGCGAAAAGTACTTTACTTCAAGATTCATTTTAATACAGAAAACAGAGGGTTTTTATAATATTTTAAATGTCCTTGGGTTGCTCGAAGATTCTGGAATGCTACTAAACATAGTAGCGGTATAACAATCAACCAATCAGAACCACTACATGTGACGTTTCACATCCTTGATGTTTCTGGCTGATTGGATGAAATGCTTCTTAAGGTTTCCTGATCCTTGCGTGTTTTTTGCGAGAACTTTTCTGGACCATCCCAACAGTTTAACTGAATACATGTTTATGAATTTCGGGTTTATAAGGATCATTCATTTTTATAGTTAACAAGTCATGGACTGATCCTAGTTAGCCAAACACTGAAAGCTGAGAAGCTATAAACTGCTATTTCACCTTAGTATGGTGAGTTTCCAGAAACTCACATCTACCAACCCACTATTGGTCGGATCAAAGATTTTAATATCTCTCGACAAGCACCTAATCCTTAGTCCAATGATTTACCTATTCAACTCAAAGATTGATTATCTATAGAGTCGCAGATGTACACTACTGAGTTCGATACTAGGACAAAACAACTGTCCAATGTTTTTTTCTTCTGGTTTTCAACTGTTATTCAGCTAAGATCAATGCATGATGTAAACTACAAAGATTTTCATAAGCTTCCTATATAAATTAGTACAGTTTATTATCTACAACTAAAAATTATATAATAGTTGGATTCATGAGTTAATTGAAGTTAGACCACCATAGAAAACCTGGAAGTACTGGACGGTGGTTTCGTCTCAGTATGGGACTTATTGAAGACGATGGTGGACGGTGAAGCAATTTTGTGAATTAGATGACATTAGACATTATTACTGTTGGATTCCAGAGCTCAGTGGACTAGAGGTTAAGCATTCGCTTGCAAGATCGAATGCGCTGGGTTCGAGTTCCGCGTGAGGGATTGTGATTACGTACTGTTGAGAAGTACCATACTGAGAAGAAACCACTGTCCAGTGCTTCCAGGTTTCCCATGGTTGACTAGCTTCAATCGACTCATGAATTAAACTATTAAATTACTAAAATCTGCACAAAATCCTTTTCTAAAAATTATATATATAATTATTGATTAGTTTATTCCTTAGTTATGAATAAGTCATTAGAATTTTTATTCTTCAATATTGAACGCACATTACCAGTTACTAAGTGAACATACACACACACACACACAAATATATATTCATTTGACTTTGTACATTAATGATGATGTCGATACATAAATGAATGTGATAAAGAAGGAAATAGAAATTATGAAGGACATGAAAAAAAAGGAAGGTGATAATAACAATGATATTTAGTTTGACGAACAAAATGAAAGTATGTAACAACTGTTCATAGTATAACTATTGAATACACATCGTGGTAGGTAGGTAGGTAGGTGTGGTAGATAGGGAGATAGTGAGGTAGGTTAAAATAGATTCATAGATAAGTAGGTAGATTGGTTGATTAGGGAAAACATATGTCGTATAACTTTGTTTTAATGTTGTATACAAATAAATGAATTTGGCAAAGTAATATGAATATAAAAATAGTTCATGGATGTGATAAAAATCGGTAAAGAGAATTATACAAGTAAAACAATACCAAATGAATTTAAACTTCACTCCATTGCACAAGGAAGTGGCTATCAGGACTCAGTAGCTAAGTAAATAACGCAATGGTATTTGAAGCGAACGGTATTGGGTTCGAATCTCACAGTGAATTCTGGGATGCAGATACATCCAGTTGACGAGTCCTAAATAGGACGAAACGCACGTCCTAGATTCCAATGCTAGCCACTATCCATCTTTATTTATTAACAAGAATATAAAACCCAACCAGTGTAAAACACAAATAACCTCGGTCAAAAAGAAAACACTTTAAATGGATAACGGTTTTAAGGGTGATAGTGCTATAAACGTGCTAAAGACGAAAATTTCCAAATCTTTGAATAGAACGTTCTTTTCAGCAATGTTGTAAATAGTGGTTTCAAGTCGATCGTTGTTCCCCAATAATCTGAAGGATAAGTTATTTCATCTGACCGACTGTATGTATATTTATCAAGTGTATAGTTCAGTCGATGCGCACTATGTTCAAAAGAATTCAGGAACACTATCAGATATCGCTGAAACGAGACGGAAACGGCTCAATAATCGGACACATTGTGAACAGAAGTCATTCAATCAAAGGTGACTTCTTTTAAAGTCATCTACAAGATAAGTAGAAGGTTGCCAAAGGCAGTTATATTGCATATTGTTAACATTTCCGAAGCAATAGCCATACATATAGGAAAACCAGGATTGTGTTCAAAAGAAATTGATACAAATTGTTCTCCTACCAATGATCTTAATGCCCTCACCATGGGCATATTTCTACTTTTATGATCCTCCTGAGGAGTAGAGTGACATCTATAGGAGGACTGTAAGTGTTGCTTCGGTATCTGGTGGGTTCAGTGGGACTGGTCTTTTCAATGGTTACTCAAAGTATTCTACCTATCTTTTCCTCTGTTCTTGGATTTCAGTGATTGTCTTGCCTTTTTTGTCCTTGACTGGTCGCTCTAGTTTACTATACATTCCTGATAGTTCCTTCGCTATACCACAAGTTATTTGATATTTCCTTCTCTTGAAGCATTTTCCACTGTCGTTGCTAGGCCTTGCATGTATTTTCGTTTGTCAGTCCTGATGCACTTTTTCACTTGCTTGTTTGTTTCTGTGTGTTCAGCTTGTACCTTGACTTTTTCTGCTCATGTTCGACAGTTGTTAATTGCTGTCTTGTTCTTCCTTTCTTGAATCTTGCCCAGGGTTTCGATGGAGATCCATTCCTTATGACAGTACTTTTTACGTCTTCCATTGACCTTGTGAGTTTTTTACTGGCACAAGTATGATCAATCTGGTTCTCGGTAATGTGATCCGGTGATACCCATGTAGCTTTGTGTATGCGCTTTTTTGGGGCAAAATATTACCACCCATAATCATTTTGTTGAATGTACATAAATTACATATATCTCTTTCGATTCTCATTCCTTTCTCCCAGTCCATGTCGTCGCATTATATCTTGATATACGGTGTCATCCATTCCGACTTTGGCAATTAGATTTTCCATCAGGATCGTTAGGTCCTTTCTTGGACACTTCTCCACGATCGACTTCAGTAACTCATAAAACTGACTTTTATCGTCTTCATTGCTATCATTCGTGGGTGCATAACATTTATTGTTTTGAAGGATACTTTGATAATTCTGGTGCTTTTCATGCTTCTTTGAACAGCATCAGCGCAACTCCTCGTATGTGCAAAGGATTTTTTTATGACCAGAGGAAAACAGCATCTCTCTCAAACCTAATCTGTTCTGTTCATTTTGAGTTCAATGGGTTTCAAATATCCCGAGCATTGCCAAGTTGTATCTTCTCATTTCCATAGCTATTTGTTCCCGGTCTCTCACATTGTCCTCACATTAAATGTACCTATATTAATTGTTGCTCTAATTGTTAGAAAGAGCATCGGCATGTGGTTTCGTAAAAAGCTCGGCTTTCACCATGTGTTATAATTTTTCTAAATGAAGATCCTTCAACTCCCAGGGCAGATTTTGAATGATTTAAGTTATTTTTTGTGGTAAGCGTTTTTTTCAAAGTTGTTTCCTATGGGATGAGGTTGATCACCTCATAGCCAGCCCCTTCCCCATTATCCAGACTTGTGACGGGCAGTAACCCTAGAAAAGCTACAGTAGAGGTTTAAAAATAGAGAACTGGATAGAATTAATAGCCCTCACACTTTTATATTTACGACAACGGACATGTGAATATACCAGTTGGACTGACTAATTTCTCTGAAACAATTTCCAGCACCCAGACAATTATGTAAATTTAAAGAGACCCATATTTTTTTCATAATTCTCTTGAACTATAAAGGGATTGTGATTAGGCATCCACATATCTCACTGTTCTTCAGGAAGGAATGGAAATTTGTGATGTATTAATACTCTTAAATTCAATCCCAAGTTAACTGAAGTTAAAATTGTAAACTATTAGATATCGGTTCGGTAACCTAAAGGTTAAGTGTTCAGAATAAGAGTAGGGGGTCCCGAGTTCGGTCCCTGATGGAGTGGTGGTTGTGCTGTCATT